GGGGGCGGGACACGGCATAGGGGACAATTACCTAGATAAAGACCAGGCCAAAATAGTAAAGTAAAAATCCACTTGCAAAACAAAAATTCAGGTCATTTAGTCACACTCCCTAACAAAATGAAACTGTTCCTCCTCAAAACATGTATCAAAGAAGGTAAAAAATACACTGAGTTTGGAAAATGAGAGAAGAGCTTTGGAAGTGTGTTCCCGGTAGACAATAAATCAAGTTTGCAGAAGGAAGAACAACGTTCTTTTTCACTTCAGTTTAAGAAAAACAAAGGGTTAATGTTATCCTAACTGGTTTGCCCTGTGTAGTTTTCCAATGTTATAATATAGTCTCTTGTGCTGGTTATTCTTTTCATCTCAGATGGCATGCAAACGTGCCATGAACTACAGATTGACATTTTCTAATAATGAGCAAAGCACACTGTGTCATCTGTGCAGTGAGTCAAAGCAACATGAGCATACTCTACTGCACCTCTGCCATGTTGAAGTTCTTGAAGTTCTCTGTATTTCATAAGCTGCAATGTAAAATCAACTGAGTCGACTAAGGCCTACTTTGCACTATTCATTGTGTTTAAAATACACTGAAATACGGAACAGTATGAAGCAACAGATCAACAAAACATGGAGAAGGACTTTTCACAGCTCTAATGCACTCCCTGCTTTAGGCAGACTACTTAAAAAAACCCAAAAAACCCCAAGAAAAAGCAGAAAAAAGAAAAAAAAAAAAAGATTACAAAGCAGAAAGGTTGCCTCTTTCACAAAAGATACCAGATTTGTAATGCAGCCTGGCACAGTACTTCTTAACTATTGCCATTGCACATAAGACTAATTTTATGTGCTTCCCACTGTTCTTGACTGCCGAGGAGTCCATTTATACACATTTGAATCTGTACTGTACAAAAGAAATCTTATGCTACCAGCAATTCAGTTTAAGTTACAGGTAAGCTATACTTACATATTTCCATTTTCCAAACATAAGATCATCTGGTACTTCTTGACGACAAGGCATAATAATGGTATCTCCATAAGTTGCATTTACTGTGTACAATCCAAGGGCTACAAGAGACAAAGAAACAAAATGTTAAATGTTTTTGTAAAATTCTTAAAGGCTAGCCAACATTTGGTTCAAGGTGTTAACCTCTTCTCTTCCTCCATCCAACAATGCCATTCATCTTTAAAATGTTTTCTGAAACAGGAATCAATACATTAAGCACATTTGGTTAAATGTCCATAGCTCTTTTGCATCTTATGTATCCTACTCTTATTCACTGGGAGCCGTGTGATTTCTGGGAACTGAATTTCATCCTTTTAGCTAGATCCCCATGTACATCTGACTGACTGCTGCACTGTCTCAAACAACTCCTAAGACTGAAACACACACATTTATCTTTCCCATCAGAAAACTGAGAGTCTTATCAGCAGGTTATATGTTACAACACAATATCAAAATGGGGACACAGCATGGAAGCAAAATAAAATTATTACAAGTGTGTTTGTGTTAAAAAGTTATATAAAAAAGGAAAGTTTAATGTTTATTTTCAAGAACTCTTTCTTTGGTTTGGAAAGCTAATCATTTTAATTCTCAAAGTATAGGTTTTGGAAATGTAAAATGACTTACTTCTATGAGTTACATAAAAATAAATAAAAGCCATTTATTTGCTTGGGGGGAACCTATGCAAAACAGTATTATGCCTATGCACAAGAATTACCACAAACTGATCAATGTATTTTTTTTTTAAATGAAAGGGCATCAAGGAATTGCAAACAGTGTAAGTGGCAACAGATTAAGACTGAAAAAAATAGTCTCCAGTGCCAATACAAGCCTTATTACTATGGCAATTTTGCTCTGTTTTTAATAAAACAAAATAAAAATAAAAAAAACCCACAGGACTAGATTACCTCCTGCCCACAGAAACCCAGCAGAAGAATCTCCAAAGGAAAGAACCTCAAGGAGGGCTTCCCCAGCCTCCTCCTCTCATTCTTTCTCTGCCCACCACCAAGGAAGCTGGGGTTTCCTCAATGATTAGAGCTACAGTGACCCAGTCCTTCACTGCCAGTGTACAATGGCTTTAATGGAGCAACACAATCAAGGATTTCCACCCACTTGCTGCCAAGCAAGGAACCTTATTTAATGAGTGGAAGGATGGTAATGGTGTAGCAGCAGCTATAAAAAAAAGAAATACATCCACAGGCTTCATTAATTTCTTAGCAGATTCCTCATTACTTGCCAGTGCCGGATGATGCACATAGCAGACCTGTCTCTGGATTATCCCTTTCCAATAGTTTCCAGGGATTTGGAAATAGTGTCTGGAGTTGGTTGACACTCCTCTTGCTCTGTGGATGTGTCTACACATACATTTAAGCGCAACTAAATTCAATGCGCATTAAGCGATTTTTGATATGCGTCTACACATGCAGAGACTTGAAACTAAAGTTAGTGTACTTGGCACTAAAATTAATCCCAAGTCCCTGCAGCCCTCCCATGTGCCCCTAGTGGCTGGGCAGACCTGGCACTAAAGTTAGTGCCGGGTCACATCTATACATGCGTTAATGTGCTCTAACTAATTGCGCATTGGCAGGTATCAAAGTTAGGTGGAATTAACCTAATTTCACCATTTTAATGCACATTAAGGGTGTGCACATGCAGACACATGCCCGCAATGTGCATTAAATTAAGCTAATGCACATTAATGAGTCTCGTGTAGATGTGCCCTGTATGAACACTACTCAGGGCTGTTCTCTGACTTTACATCCATGGATAATTAAAATAAAACAAAAATAATCACTTCTTAAAGGGTTACAGACTGAATTTCTTACCAAGACTGGTCCCTGAACATTTTGCCTGAGTAACAATTTCAGAATGCATTACTACTACTGCTGCTGGTACTTAAAACTTTTCTATTACGAGGACATCCAAAAAGCCACAGCCAAGCTGAGTCCAACTGCCTGAGGCACTACACAAAGATATTGTAAGTTTTGTAAGGAAGGCCCTACTCTAAAAAGTGTACCATCTAAAAGATAGAACATAACCAGCAGAAGAAACAAGCAAGCAGGTCTGGACTGGCATATTAAGGGAAATTAGTGTAACATACAATAGGAAATAATATTTCTGTACATTCTAGGAGTTGTATTTTAACAGTATTCCTCTTCCACCAAGTAACTGCTAATCTTCTGTTTCTGTGGCAGTCCTAGTGACATGCTCAATTTAAATAGAGCAGTCATATTTAAAAATAATTTTAAAAACCCAGTTCTGCTAAATGCATGCTGTAATCTGCTGCACAGTCTGATTAAGACAAACTGTTTTATCAACCGAGATAGGTTTATAGTCCACTAGGTGGTGCTAAAGAAATATAAACATAAATGGTTACCAAAAAAAAAAAGTCTCCTTGCTCTTACAATTTATTGAACACCACCAATATTTCATATCCCAATATTTCATATCATCAAAAATATTACTAGAATTAGAAATCGAGATTGAAATAAAGGAAAAATAAATTAAACATCATTGATTGAAAGGATTGGTTGGAATGTAAGCACTGATGTCATTTTAATGTTGTACTTACAATTCTAAACGTTAGTGTTTGCTAAACAGCAAAAAAGCTCCCCTTTAAGTCCTTTTCCCCATTAATACAAAGCAACAAAAGAGGCTTGTTACAATGTAGTTCAGCAACAAACTACCAGTATTTGGCATTTTTACTAGTCCAAACTCAAGTTAAATACAGGCATGTTAAATTATTAGACATGACAGCGTTTCACACCAGAGAGAAAAGGAGATTTGCTTATTCTCCTGATGTCCTGGTGAAAAAAATAACCCTGTGAGACTTTAAATTGTTGTTCTTTTCGGTTCACTCCCAGACAATCATTTTAACCCCTGCAAGTTGCTACGGTAACAAGCATACACATCCAAACACTCAACAAACAGCTTCAGGAGCATGAGTAAATTGGCTCATGAAGAGGACTGAGGTTTACTACATGCCGGGCATGTCTACCCATGCATTTACTCTGGTCTAAGTTTACTCTGGTGTAAACTGCTTGGGAATAAGCATTTTCAGGCAGGCATCTACACATGCAGGGATTAGGGAGCAGATTTGCTGCTCTTTGCACCGAATTCCTGCAGTCCTGCAATGGGTGCTTGCCAACACCAGGGGGAGCTCCACCTACCAGGGGGCTGGCTGCTGCTGAGGCAGGGACAATGTTCCCCTGCCCCGGCAGCAGGGAGCTCCTGGCTCTGGCTCCCTGATCAGGGGCAGAGGGCTTGAAAAGAGCTGCAGGAGAGGAGCAGGTCCCAGCGGCGGATCGGGGCAGGGGGCTGCATTGGGGCATCCCTGCAGCAATTTCGAAGCAAGCCCTGTGCCTTGATTACCCAATCAGGGCATGCAGTTGGGACATGCCCCTGACTGGGACAGGTCCCAGCCAGCCCTGGGCTGCATGGGGAAGTCTGCATATACAGCCCAGAGTCGGCTGGGGACTTACAGCCAGCTCTGGGTTAGTCAGTCCTGGGGCCAGCTTTGTTCAATGTCTTCATCAATGACCTTGAAGATGGCATAGAGTGCACCATCAGCAAGTCTGCAGATGACACCAAGCTGGGGGAAGCAGTAGATATGCTGGATGGTAGAGCTAGGATTCAGAGTGACCTAGACAAATTGGAGGATTGGGCCAAAAAAGAATTTCATGAGGTTCAACAGGGACAAGTGCAAAGTCCTGCACTTAGGACAGAGCAATCCCATGCACTGGTACAGAATCATAAAAGAATCGAAGGACTGGAAGGGACCCATAAGATCATCAAGGCTGGCAGCTAAGTGGCTGGGCAGCAGCTCTGCAGAAAAAGGGGTTACAGTGGACAATAACCTGAATATGTGCCAGCAGTGTGCCCTTGTTGCTAAGAAGACTTAATGGCATACTGGACTGCATTGGTAAGTGCATTGCCAGTAGGTCAAGGGAAATGATTATTCCCCTCTATTTAGCACTGATGAGGCCACATCTGGAGTAGTGGCTTCAGTTTTGGGTCCTCCACTACTGAAAGGATGTGGACAAACTGGAGTGAGTCCAGCTGAGGGCAACAAAAATGGTGAGGGGGGCTGGGACACAAGACTTCTGAGGGAAGCCTGAGTGAAGCGGGCTTATTTAGTCTACAGAAGAGAAGACAGAGAGGATTTAATAACAGCCTTCAACTACCTGAAGGATAGTTCAAAAGAGGATGGAGATAGATTGTTCTCAGTAGTGGCAGATGACAGAACAAGGAAGAACAGGTCTCAAGATGCAGCAAGGGAGGTTTAGGTTAGATATTAGGAAGAATTTTCTCACTAGGAGGGTAGTAAAACACTGGAACAGATTACCCAGAGAAGTGGTGAAAGTATCTCCATCCTTGGAGATTTCAAGACCCAGCTAGACAAAGCTTTGGTTCAGATAATCTAGTTGGGGATTCTCCTGCTTTGAGCAGGGGGTTGGTAACCTCCTGAGGTCCCTTCCAACCCTAATTTTCTATGATTCACCAAAACAGGACAGTACTCAGCCACCTCCAGGCTGCATGTGCTTCCCCACACAGTCTGGGGCTGGCTGGGAACTGTCCTTGTCAGGGCAGGTCCCAGCCCCATGCCCTGATTGAACGATTAAGGAACAGGGCTTGGAAAGAGCTTCAGGGATGTGACAGGTCCCAGCCAGCTCGAGTGGGTGGGGAACTGTCCCCATGCAGGGAGCTCCCAGCCCCTGCTCCATGATCCCAGAGCAGGGGCTGGGAACAAGCTCCCAGGCCCCGCTCCATGATCATGATTGAGGGCTGGAAGCTCTGCCAGGGCAGAGGGACATTGTCTCCACCTGGAAAACTCAAGGCGGGGCTGGAAAGCTTTCCCCATCTACCTCCGTGAGTGCAGAGCTGTGGGGGGAAAAGAAGCTCCCCAGCTTGCTCCCTGCCTCCCCGCCCCCCCAATCCAAACTCCGCACTCACTTTGCTGGGCAGGGAACAAGGGAACAGACTCCCCAGCCCCTGCCAGCAGGGAGTTCCCAGTGCTATCTCTACAACTGTGGGGTCACTGATGGGAGATAAGCATCTTCTAACA